TATGTGTTGTAATTGTACTTGTATGTCTGCCACGTTCCAGCTGGCATGCATACACAAGTACTTACTGGTCATTTCAAAAAATACGAAACTGATTCATTCATTCCAGTCCATTCCATTCCATGCAAACAAAATGCAAACTGTTTCTTCGGGTCTTAATTCAGTGTGTGAATAAGAGCATCCACAGTGGGGGGTGTATATAGGGGTGTATGTTAAATATACACCCCGAGTCACCGGAATGGTCTCAAATGGTGAGATGTAAATGGATGTAAATATACATCACCACCATGGGGATGTAAAATAAAATGTATATTTACATCCATTTTTACATCTCTTGCAGGCAAGACCCACCCGAGAAAAGAGAAGAAAAATGAAGAAAAGTCAATATAAAAGGCTGGGACCCACGGCTACACCCCCGAATTTACATCCCCCCACTGGAGCAAAAAACATATTTACACCCCCCGGAGGTGTAAAGGGGATGTAAAAGTGGCTTTACACCCCCGAATTTACACCCCCCACTGTGGATGCTCTAAGTGGTGTGGGCATGCATTGTTGGATTGATTTATTTTTCCTACGCGAGGAGCTGAAAAACTTGTGAAATGTGGATAACACTATTTTGTGTAAAAAAGTTATTGTTGATTTTGAGATTGTTTCGATCTGATATGTGGATTATCTAGAATAAAATAATCAAGGCCAAGTAAATTGATCAGTGCATAATTACGTATCATTTTGTACCCTTGTAGCTTATGATTTTGTTTTTTTTTTATAGTTAAATTTGTGATTCTACATATTGTTGAAAAGATAAGACAAAATGCTTCAAGATCCATATTTTTCCAGAATTTTCAGAATAGAGGAACAAGCCCAAAACGAGCCTACAAGAAGACTGCAGTGCATTGTCATGCATGACATATGCATAATGAGCTATTGTTTTTTATGGGGAAGTTAGGTAAAATTGGTGAAGTGAGTGTTGTAGGTAGAGGCAATACTCAAATCATATTTTTACTTCCCTTAGGCCTATAAATAGTGGGTTCTCCAAGCTTACAAACACACCCCAAGGGGGGAGCTCTCAAACATCTCTCTAGAACTCCTCTACCTATTCTCCCTCAAATTCTCTTAGTTTTTCTTTTCAATTCTCAATTGTTGTAACAAAACCGTTTTGCTAAATTTTCCTTTATGTTTTTCTTAATTGTAATTTATTTTTCATTGTCATAAAATTGCTTATTTTAAGTTTTCAAGTTTAATTAGTTTTCAAATTTCAATTATGGTTCTTGTTCTTATTCATTATGCTTATAAGTTAATATGCTTGTTTAAATGATTGAGCTTCCATTGAAAGATCTCTCAAATAAGCTTATTTGATAGACACCCTTGTAGGGCCCACTTCGCATTGTATTTCACTAATCCAAACCATCTATGTTTTAGATAATCATTCAAAGATCACCTCTAAAAAAACAAAAAAAAAACTTGAATCTAATATCATTTGACCACTCAATTGAATTATTGAAATTTTAGTACTTTCTTGAAATATTGTGTTCATTGATTTTGTAGGACACAATTGGATATTGAAACGGTTTCCGATTTGTCTAATTTTTTGCAAGTATGATCTATGAATGAAAACCTAAAAATAGAAGGTTTGGATCGTTGAAAAAAAATCCATAGGATACCTTCTTAAAGGATGTTCCTCAAATAAAATTATTTAAAGAATATATCAATAGAAGGGATATATATATATAGAGAGAGAGAGAGAGAGACAGAGAGAGAGAGAGAGAGACAGAGACAGAGACAGAGAGACAGAGAGAGAGAGAGAGAGACAGAGAGAGAGAGAGAGAGACAGAGACAGAGACAGAGAGACAGAGAGACAGAGAGAGAGAACAAGAAGAAGCCACATCCACATCCCTTGGTGTCTCTGGCACGTAAGTGGGAGTCCAATTTTCCTGTTTCCCTTTTTCTTGTGCCCGCCTTGTTTCCCCCTTATTCTTTTGACACATATCCTCTCTCTTAACATGAAACACAGCGTTGTTAACTTTGAATAAAATGAAAAATAAAATGACAATAAAATGAAAAGAAATATATAAAAAAACAGAAACCCAGTAGCGACCCAAGCAAAAACGCAATAGCCGACCATAGCCCCCTCCCCCCCAATCCACACACACACACACACACACTCTCTCTCTCTCTCTCTCTCTCTCTCTCTCTCTCTCTCTCTTGGTGAAGATCTGAATATGAAGGTTTTGAGAGGAAACAAATTTGGAACAAGAAGCGCGCACCTTTCGTCATCACACTCTCGACTCTCTCACTACTAAATCCCAAAACAAAAACCCCAAAACGTTGTGAGAACTTAGAACTATTTTAATTTTTTAATTTTTGGTATAAAAAACTATAAATTTCGTTTTCTCCATAGTGATCTCGAGGCGCGATTGTTCTCAGGCTTTGTCTCGTTGATGATCGACCGATCAAAGTAACAAGTTTAAAGACATTAAAAAATTCAAAAGGAACAGAGAGAGCTATGGCAGTGGTTGATGATGCATTCCAAGTGGGAGAAGAGGTCGGGTTGAGTTCAGACTATCTTGATATGGTGCAGAAATTCAAAGAGAGAGATAGGGAGGCTTGGGGCAGTGAAGAATTTTTATTTTTTTTTAATAAAAGGGAAGATGAAGATGAACAAATTATTTGATAAAATTTTAATAAAATTGACATATTAAACAGAGTTAACCTTCCGTTAGTTAACAGGACACGTGTTAGAAAAATAAGAGGGAAACAAGGTGGGCACGGGGAAAAGGAAAACAGGAAAGTTGAACTCCGTAAGTGGCCCCCAACCCAAGTCCTGCTCCGAATGATCTGGCTGAATTCACACATCAACCATCTAATTAACTAACAAATTAATCATCTAATAACTAATTAAGAAATTAGCAACCTCATCAGTTCGATTCCATGAATGAAATGTGTGTCATGAGATGATAAAGATGGACAAGTACAGTTTTGTCTCCTCCCGTCCTATATGGCATGCCTGGCGTATTGCCTGATGGGCCCGTGTCTTCGAATTGAAGAATTAAACGATTCAATTCTCCTTTTTTCTTTCATAAAAATGAAACTTTAAAATAAATAAAATAAAATAAAAAAAAGAAGAGAAAAGTCTCAGCGTCCGGTCCGGACTCATTCAGCGACGTGTAGGGATGGGAATCAGTCAGACCAGCTCTACTCTACTCATACAGCACTAACTACTACTATGCATCTGGTCGGTAACATCCCAATGTATCTAACGCGTGTATCTATATATTATTATTCCTTTCTTTGAGGGTTTTTTAAGTCAAGATTTTAATGAGGTCATTATCATGTTTTTCCAGTTTTTTTTTTTACTCATAGATGGGTTGTATTCTGTGCTAATTTTTAGTGAACGAAGTATCTTTCTGATTATTTAAAAATAAAAAATAAAAACCATTCCTTTTTATAGCTCCAAATGACATTATGAATTTCTCCATAATTAGTAGGATTATTAGGAATAACTTTATGAAACTGAAATGTGAAACTCTAATGAGATTGTTTGCTATTAAAATAATGGGATAATATCATCATCATATCGAGATCATGTCGATATAGTAGGAATATTTGTTACAATAATAATGCTATTTGAGAATTTTGGTACATTAATAGTGGTATTTGAATGCATTTTTCAAAAATATATATTTTTTTAATTCAAACCTAAAAAACCATAAAATCAATTCATACTTTTTATTATTAAAAAATTCCAAAATAAATTCTTTTTTTGGTAAATACCACAAGGTGTCCCTGAACCTGAAGGGTGGGATTAATCCCCGCTTAGGGTTTGGTTTGCCCTAACCACAAAATGCTTCCAACGGATTTCGAACCCTTGCCATTGAGGCACCAGGTAGCTCGCCAACTGGAGGTGGTAGTTTGCCAACTGCACCACATCTTGTGGTTAAAATAAAATAAATTCATACTTTGGAAATAGTCTTTTTAAGTTTAACACGTTTTTATTAATTAGCCCCTGAAATTTTCTAGGAGTTAAGGCCATCTCCAGCCATGGGCTAAACAAAATTTTGGCCAACTTTGGCCTTTTAGCCCTCCAACAGGTCCACATGTAGCCCAGCTTTGTCCTAGGCCAAATTTTTTGTGGACCTATACATGTGCTTTTGAAGAAAATAAATTATCAAGTGTGGGCAAGAGCACGAATCATCTCATGCAAATGCATATCCAACAACCAACATTAAAAAGTGCTGACGTCATTAATGACGTCAACTATATATATATATATATATAAAAGCCTTTTTAAATATTTTCAGTTCGTAAAAAAATTATAAAAAATTCTTGGTCATGGAATATTATCTCTAAATAATAGTTTAATTAAATTAAATAATACATAGTTGTGAAATGTATGAGTGTTGTACCATAGTTTTTTTCAAAATAATAAAATATGAAGGACCCTAAAAATATAGCTCTGCATGGCTGAAGATGGAAAAATTTAGCCATACACTGTTCTTTAAAAAATTAATATTTTGGAGGGCTAAATTTTTAGCCTTGGACTACATTTAGCCATATGACTGGAGATGGCCTAATAAGATAATTAGATGATTTTTGTTGATATATCTTGATTCTTTTTTATTACAACGGAGGAAATCAAATTCCTGGCATAGCCTAATTCTAATTTAATTTCCCACCCACCACTTGGGCTATGCCAAAGGCAATTAAATTATATATATATATATTTATTTATTTATTATTGATGAAATTGTGTATTATTAAAAATGTTTGGAGAGTTTGAATTTTTATGGAAGTTCAATTTTGTTATTGGGGTCATAACATGAGAAAGTGCAAGTTAAAAGGAGTAACTTTGGAACTTTTTAGTCTTCCTTTATGAGATATTCACAAGGGCTCTGCTCTTTAATCGTTGTGTTCCACGCCAATAAAATCAATATTCATGCAAAGAATGCAAAAGAACTCACAGCATTCATGTAATTTGAGCAGCGTACATGGAGAGAACACAGATAGAAACAAACTAAAAATAATTAATATTTATTATCATACTGAATGTTCCTTTTTTTCTTTTTTGACATTTTGTTCTTCACGCACATATAAAGAAAACCAATCTATATCAGTGTGTGAAAGAAAAAGCCACTTAAATGCAAACCAAGAGGAAAACAAATCCCCAGATGGGCACAAAAGAATTTGCCTATATATTATGGGAATGTCCCAACAAACTCTGTTAAATACCTATTTAAATACGTGCATGTATTCAGAAAAACTTATCAAGCAGAGATTTAAAATGGGAGCTGCCGCCATTGCCCAAGAAAAACAAGGCCAAGACAACCAGAACTGTAAGGAGGACCCACATCCAAGGCTGCATCCTTCTCTTACTGCGGTTGCGAAGAGGCAGAGGTATGGATTTTACCTTGGTTTGCTTTGTGAACTGCGATGATTTCTGAGACCTCTTTGTTACGGTGATAGGTTTCTCTTTAGTTTCAGACTGCTCTGGAGTTTCAGTTGGGGTGTCTGAGCTTGGATCTGGAGCAGAATCTCCTTCACTAATACCATTTGTGGCCTTTGTTGTAGTTGCCTTCTTTCTTTCCTTCTTCTTCACCCTCTTCTCCCTTTCCTGCAAAAGATACAAGTCGTGCAGGGCCAATACTTAGAAGGCTAGAATATTGCATCTGGTGGAACAGAGATCCACATGTCTAAATCTACAATGCCTATGAGAAGTTTATATAGCTGAAAAGAAAGTGATGAAATTTTACCTTCTCTTTCTCCTCAGCTTCCTTCTGTGCTCTTATGGCAGCTCTGGCTTGGGCCTTCTCCGTTATTCTTTTCTTCCTCTCTTGTGCTTCCTTGGCTTTGGCCTTCTCCTCCAGCCTACGCTGCTCTCTCAACCTAGCTGCTGCTTCTTCCTTTCTCAATGCCTCTGCCTTTCTGGCCAACTCTTCTTCCTCCTTTGTTACTTTAGGTTCTTCTACTTTTTCATCTTCAATCTCATTTCTTCCAGAAGCAGTTGCTGGGCTAATTTCAGATGAAGCAGGTTTCTCAGGCTTCTTGGTTTTAGCTATCTCAATTTTTGGCTGACCAACCTTCTTTGCAGATTTGTCATCTGGCTTTTCAGATTCCACAGGGGGAACTCGTTTTGCTTGTTCAGGAGTAGAAAGCACTGTTGCCAAATTATCCTTGGTTGCTCTAACAATATCAGGTATTATAGGGGGCTCCTCATCAGGACCAAGTGAGCGCCCATCTGAGGTTCTCAATCTCCTCAGTGTGCTCCTGTTGTTGCATCTGACATATTCTTTACGGAAATCATCATTTTTATTCCAGAGTTCCATAATCGTTTCCACCTAAACAATTGAGTTTCAGCCAATGCACATTTAAGCTGTTTTTCCAGATTCTTCAACAAAATAGGTTGGGGAAACACACACACGCACACACAAAACAGGACTCCATGAACTAACCTGTTTGATACAAAAATCCTGCAGTTGTTCCCTATTTCCACTCAATGCTAAATTATTAGCAGCCTTTGCATCATCCTTATACCTCCAAAAATATTTGTTCTGCAGATTCAAGGAATAAGGGGTTAGTATTTCTTTTCTAAATTTGCATCTATTTATTTCAAGGGTGAAGTTAACAAAGAGATAAAGGCATTGTACAATTAAAAACATGATTTATCAACTGGAAAAACATGTATAAGCAACCTTAAACATGTCCCCTTACACGTGACATTATACAAAGGAACAGTAAAACATGTTTCACAGTCTGTCTGTGTGCGCATGTGTAGAGAGAGAGAGCGAGTGAGAGTATAATCCTAATAAGCAATTAGGGAATACAAACACCTTGTCATATTGTTGTTTCCTCAAACTCTGTAAATGTGCGTATGCTTCTTGACGAATGTCATCTGCAGCTCTAAACTGAGAAAGTAATTCATTCAGCATATTGTTTTCTTCATTAAATTTCTTTTTAGCAGCTTGAGTGACTGTCTCTGCTTTCAGAAGATTGTTTCTGAGTAGATCCATCTCCTTCCTCAGAACCTGTAATAATGGAAAATCAGATAAATAACTGAACAGCTCATCTGCGGCACTGACAAGACTTTGTCTAACTCTTACAGTATCAAACAGTCTTATCTCTATTTTTGGTTACTAGAAAATGTATACTAAAATTCGAAGGTGATTAGTTGTTTCTAAGTGAATTAGATCTCATGATGACCACCAAATGAACAATTTAACACAACAATCCCCCATACTGGCTACATAAGAAATAGAAAATAACAAACAATTAGAAAACACTACCTTTGAGCGCTCTTCAATATGGTCTTTCTGGTCTAAAGCTTGTTGAACTTCATCCTGCTTACCCAGGCTAGAAGAGAGCTGTTCACGAAGTTGCTTCACTTGCTTGATTTCGCGAATATATTGCTTTTCTTCCTTCAAAGGCAGGGTCTCATGCTGCATAGTATGTTCCATATTGCGTATCTATTCATGAAACAAAGATAAAAAAATACAGACATTCAATACTTACAAACATATTCAAATATGCTATATAAATCTATGGCAGCAATCAATAGTGTTGAGGGGTAGACGATCGATCGCTTACTTTGCTATCCATATCCTCAACAGACATGGCATTCTTCACTTTGTTAATCATTAATTGAACAGTATCCATTTCATGGCGTTTGGCCTTAAACAGGTCTCGTGCAGCTCTCTCTTCAGATCTAGCAGCTTCAAAATTGTCAAAATACTCCTTACAAGTGGCCTGGCCATGAAAGAACCCCAACAGTTAATGTGAGAAGATACTAAAATCTAACTATAAAATACAGTTGAAGCCATTTCCAAAAGATTCCTCACCCTTTCCATTTGGATTTTGGAACGAATAGCATCCCGGCTTTTAGTTTTTTCTTCAACGTGTAACTGAGCTTGTTTAATCTGTTCTTTCAAATTTTCGTCATCATATCTTGGAACCCTAATCAAGAAGTAGAACGGCCTCTTTTCTACCTCAGCACCTTTATTCTGTCCTTCCAAAACATCAGTAGTGGAAACTTCCTGGGAAGATGTTGAGGCTTCAGATCTATGAATTCCGTCAGTGGACTCCGCTACCTCACATGTCGGTTTAACGTCACTATCAATTTGTACATCATCCAAGTTGCAATTTAGTGGCCTGCCACTCTCCTCAGAAGAGTCATTCAGAATCCTGGATTCAGATGTGGTACCACCATCTTCAGGAACATCTCTGCTTCTCAGAGCAGATGAACTGTGAACTTCAGACCCTGGTTTGTCATCAGCATCTGATTTAGCAGGCAAGCTAGCTTCATTTGAATTGTTTTCAGCAAGTGATAAAGGGGGGCTAGCAACACATTCAACCTCCAAATTTGACAACCCAGAATCTACATCCACGGCATCATTAGATATCTTTTCTTCACAACCAATAGAATCCTGGCTGGTCTTGGGTTCTGATATCACATCATTAGCTGGACAACTTGACAGAGTATCACTCACAATGGGTGCACTCTCAAATTCAACTTCTGATTTTGAATTGGGTTCTGGCATTGCATCATTAGCTGGGCAACTTGACAGAGCTTCATCCACAATTGGCACACTCTCAAAGTCTACTTCAGAATTTGATTTGGGTTCTGATATTGCAGTATTAGCTGGGCAACTTGACAGAGTATCATCCACAATTGGCACACTCTCAAAGTCTACTTCAGATTTTGATTTGGGTTCTGATATTGCAGTATTAGCTGGGCAACTTGACAGAGTATCATCCACAATGGGCGCAGTCTCAAAGTCTACTTCAGATTTTGATTTGGGTTCTGATATTGCAGTATTAGCTGGGCAACTTGACAGAGTATCATCCACAATGGGCGCAGTCTCAAAGTCTACTTCAGATTTTGATTTGGGTTCTGATATTGCAGTATTAGCTGGGCAACTTGACAGAGTATCATCCACAATGGACGCAGTCTCAGGTTCAACTTCTGATTTTAAATTGGGTTGGGAGATTGCATCTCTTTCTGGGCAAGTTGACAGAGTATCATCCCCGATGGGCACAATCTCAGGTTCAATTTCCAATTTGGAATTCAGTTCTGATATTGCATCATTAACTGGGAAACTTGACAAGGTATCCTCTATACCAGGCCCACCCTCAGCTTCAATTTCTGATTTTGAATGCTCAAGAAGGCAAGGACTAGGGCTTTCACTACTCTTCTCATTTAGGTTTACAACATCAGTCCCTGCCATCCCATCATCAACAGTGCAAGTTGAAACATCTTCAGTAGGTAGAGAAACCTCGTTTTCAACATCTGGATTTCCTGTTGTATCATTATCAGCAACAGTTGAAAAGCTTTCACCATTTTCAGTAGGCACTTTCTCACAACTCTCAGCATTTTCACATGACCCGTTCTCATCAGGTGCATCAACCAAGTCATCTGTAACTACGGGCTCTGAAATGCCCTCTTGAGCATGAACAATAAGCAAGCCATCTTCAGTACTTTGATCAGGGACAGTGCCATTGCCAACTTCTGCTGCCAACTTGTTCTCAACTTGGAAGGAGGCGTTTTCACAAATGAGTGGGGCAGGCAAGGCTCGGCCATTTTCAGAAGATACATTTTGTTCAGCTGGATTTCCTGGAGTGCTATCATGAGCAGGACAAGCAGGCAAGCCGTCCACAATTACCTTGGACACAGGATCACTCACAACTTGCTTATCAAGCGGAGTTGGAATTGAATCATGCTTCGACTCTGGGCCGAGATCCCTTGAAGCATCTTCCACGGGCACCTCCTTGGCCAGTTTCGGATCTTCGCCACTTTGAATATCACAATTTGTAAGAGAATTCTGTGGAATGGACTCTGCAACGTCAATCGTCATCTCCCCGTCGGCAGCCTTGTTTAGTGAATGAGGTTGGGGAGTATCCTCCTGAGAAGAAACACTCTCTCCCACCTTGACCTCCATGTGAAGGCTGCCATTTTTTTGAACCCTGCCATTGAGATCAGATGACTCAACAGGATCCTCAGATATGATGGCATCGCCTCCGGTCACAAACACATATGAGGAGTCGGCGTCGTCCTTGGAAATCCCATTCCCATTAACACTACCATTCCCATTCCCATTCTCATTCTCGTTCCCGTTCACATTCACATTCACATTCAAAACCTCACCTTTAGACACCTCAGATTCACAGGCATCGCGGTGCGCATCCACCTCTGCCGTCATTGTGATCTAAATCAAAATCCAACCACAACCACAACGATATGTATCTAATTCACAGACAAAGTTACAAAATTTCAAAGTTAATTTTCATTTATTTATTTATAATTCCATTAAAAGCAACTGAATTGAGAATTTAGAGTGAATGAAAATTGAAGAAAGCGTCAAAGCAGTGCAAGATCTAAATGTAAGGAGATCAGATGGACTTACCGGTGCAGATCGAAGCAACGGGTGTGAATGCAATCGAGCCGAGCAGATCGAGAGCTAGATCAGCCAACCGACATCAATGTGGTAGATTTTAAAGACTGGATGAATCTTTGTATTGTATTGTGTAATGTATAAGGGGGTGTTTGGGACTTGGGAAAATAAGCTACAGCCTAGAGAGAGAGAGAGAGAGAGATGTAAAATTGTAGATTGGATTTGGAACAAGAGAGACAGCTGGCGAGGGAAGAAGAGCAGTAGAGAGAGAGAGAGAGAGTTTTTGTTGTGAACTTGTGATTGTGTTTATGTTTGTGTTTGTGTTACAACTTTTGGTCACTAGAGACTCACTAAATAGCAAATCCATTTGTATTCTACCTTTCTTTTTCTACTTTAATCCTAATGCGGCTCCTTGTGTTAGTAATTAATTTGGATTCAAAAATCGAAGATACGTCCACACGTTTTTCCTTTTTTTCTCGCATGTTTTTTTTTTCACCTCAGCCATCGCCCACCGTTTGTCCCTCCCTATCAATATTGAATATTCACTGTCCATTTCCCTTTTCAATATGTATTCAATTACTTCACCCGTTAAAAAGAACTATTTCATTATGTATGCTAGTTTTCATGAAATCTGTATACTACTAGTATTTCTTTTTTCATGAAATCTGTATACTACTAATTCAGTTCATCCGATTCACTTCAATTTAACACTATTTGAAGTTTTTTTTCCTGTTATATTGAAGAGAATCGAATTGAATCATTAATGCAACTCATTATTTCGGCCTATCTAAAATCACTCCCAAATGAATCTTGTAAGTTCAAAGCTTAGAAAATCCGTTTGGTAGACCCATTTTTAAAAATCCAAATCCAAAAAATACCTAAAAAAACAACCCATTATTGAAAACCCAAAAAGTTAGAGTTTTTATTTTCTCTCTCTCTCTCAAATGTCTCTCTCTTTCTCCTCCCCCTCTCATATGTCTCTCTCTTTCTCTCTCGTCGATTGGTGGTTCTGGGTAGGGGTGGGCACGGTACGGTATGGTACGGTATTGAGCCCGTACCGCTACCGATACCGGAAATTTAAATCGGTATGGTACGGTATGGGATTATCGTTTGTCAAAATTGGTACCGTACCATATCGTACCGTGTCGGTATCGGTACCATTTCGGTACAAAAATGACACAACTAAAAAATGAACCAATTCAATATTCAACATATTCATTTACCAAAATAAGTGATGCCTAAGTTACAAATTCAAAGATTCAACATATTCAATTATAACATATTCAATATCCATCAACATATTCAATATCCAAATCAACCAAATCCTAATCAACATATTCAATATCCATTGAATATAACATATTCAATATCCATCAACATATTCAATATCCAAATCAACCAAATCCTAATCAACATATGCAATATCCATCAACATATTCAATAGAAAATTATATATCTGAATAGTATTCGGTATGGTACGGTATTGATCGGTACCAAATACTTGATACCGCTACCATACCATACTCTATTGGTACGGTACCGAATATTGATCGGTACCGAATGAAACGGTATGAAATCGGTATGGTACGGTTCGGTTAGGGTATGGTTTCGGTATTTCGGTTTTAGATGCCCACCCCTAGTTCTGGGTGGACGTCATTTGCAACTCCATGAAGGTCTCCTTCGTCTACTACCTCCCTGGTCCGACCCGACCCCACCCAAAATCTTTTTTCATATTTTAGGTTTCTATGATTTTCATTGAAACCACACAGATTTTTCATTTTCTTTTGTTAATTTTAATTTGAGAATCTAACTGATTTTAATTTCTTTTTCATTTTTTAGATTTTAAAAATAGTTTGGAGTTAATACCAAACAAGCTTTTAGATCTTAAAATAACTATTTGAAAAATTATCTTTTAAAAAAGAATCATAGTTTTTGAGTTTTATTTTTTGAGTAGGATACCTTAATATTTTTAATAAATATAATTAATAAATAAATATAATTAATTAATTCCTAAATCTATATATATAAAGCAAAAGGCAGAGAATGGTGAAACATTCAAAATACCAAAAAATGCCTTTGGTTAATGCAAATATTAATAATTGAAATTATTAATTAAATGAGGATAATATGGTAAATTCACACTTTTTCATATTTAAAAAAATTAAAATTAAAAGAAAAATCAGATAATGACCTATTTTTATGGAACACAACTACCCAATATCTTTTTTAATTCTAAAATAAATTGCAATTTATAAATAAATAAATAAAAAAACCCTCTCGCAGGTGCGGAAGCGCATGCTGAGAGGCTAGTATAATGTAAAGTAAATAGTATTGCATTATGTAGGGAGTTTTGGTTGAGCATAGTATTAAATTATATTATATATTATTTAATACTAGCCTTTTTGCATGCGCTTCCTGTTCGGTTCATTTTTACACATGATTTTTCATGTTATTCACCCACTATTTTGAGTTAGTTCTTGACATTTTATAGCTTTTTACTTCCTTTTTGTGTTTTCTTAGATTTTGCCTTGGTTGGGATGAAAATGAGCTAAAAGTGCATTATTAGTTATAAATTCTGTTTTTGTTCATTTTCGTAGGTCAACTTCTTGGCCTGGGATCAACATGCTCTGGTGCTCGGATGAGGTCATGATCTTCATGAGACTTGTTCCAATGGATGTTAACTACAACATATCCAAATTTGAGCTCCATTGGACAAGTATTGCCTATCCAACCAATCCATCATGTTACCACAGTTCTGGAAATCCGGATTTGGCCAGCTTTTACCTCCCTTGTGTCATCTTAACTTCTTGTTACCATAACTCTTGGTAACAAGGAATTACATTTGTAAAATAGATATTTTCTGAGCTTTTGGCATCTTTGTGAAGTCAAAGCTCCATCATGGCAAGGGGACAATGGGCTAAGGCTTTATCAAAGGTGGTAGTTTTATATTAAAAGGTAAAAGCTGGAAAGGAGGAGAGAGGGAAGGAAAGGAATTGCAATCTGAAGTTGGGGGAGCCTTTTGAACGTGGAAAAGAAAGTCATTGAAGGGATTACACAGAGGAGAGCAGATTTTGGAGAGCTTGGAGCTTGGAGAAGGCCAAGGTGCAGCCAAGCTAAGTGGAGAAGAAAGCTTCCACCATTGATGAGCTTGAAGCTTTCACCATTTTCTCAAAATCTGTAAACTCTTTCTAATTTTATTTTGAATTTGTATTTGGAATAAGTATGAGCAACTAAACTCCATAGCTAGGGCCTAGTTGAAGCCCTAAACATGATTACCTTATTGTTCTGATGCTTGAGTGTATGAATTTCTAGATGTTGTTGATGAACCCCATTCACTAATTGAATTTTATGATATGTGTTTGCTTCCTTTGCTTAATCACCTTAGGTTGTATGCATGTAGCTAAAGTTGAGAAGTTGTGTAAGATAACCAAGAACACAATTTCTAATTAGCAACAAATGATTGAACTTGTTTAAGTGAGCATCATGTGAATTGGTTTCTTGACAACAATTGATGAATTCCAATTCACCAAATTAATCTATCCTTGATGTATGTTCTTCTTTGATTGATCATCTTTGAAAGCATGCTTCTTGAGATTGTTGGGATTATGTGTATCTTCATGTTATCCTAAGCAATAAATGGATGAAGTAAGAATCATCCATGTGAATTGGTTTCTTGAATACCTAATGTAAACACCATGCTATTAGGATTCTTGTGATGTTCATATTCTCTTTGAACTTAATGGGTTCTCCTTGTAATTGAATCAAAGTACGAACCATACCTAGGTTCGGTTATGAAGAGGGCACAAGTATTGTAGCACGAACCATGCACCTTACGTATATTAGAGAGAATCAATGCGTCTTGAGCCACGACCCATGGTCTTGATTGCGAACATCTTCATCAACAAGGGTGAATTTTCGACGTACGGTTGGAAAGTTATAGGCAAAACACTGGACAGATGTCGAAATTGAAAAACAGAGAAACGAATCTGCCCAAAAACGACCGGTCGTTACTGTTCACGACCGGTCGCTCATCACACGTTTATTGAAATTTCGACTCTGCCGAAAAACGACCGGTCGTCACTGTTCACGCGACCGGTCGTCACTGTTCACTGTTCACGGCACTGTTCACTGTTCACGGCACTGTTCACAGGTGATAAACAGGTGATAAAATAGCGATAGAAAGTGCTGTTTGTGTTTTTCTCTAGTTTTCTTGTGTTGTTCCATTTCTTTTTCACTTCTTTACTCATTTCTAGTTTCCCTCTTTCATTTGTGCATTTGTGGTGTGTTAAATAAGTGTTCTTTATGTACTCAAATTAGAACTTATAGGAAGCCGACAAGTTCTTCGTGGGATCGACCCCGTACTTACATAATCTATACTTCGATAGATTCGTGCACTTGCGGGTATTTTTAATTGGTTGTTTGCACATTAATTTGTGTCCTCTTAGGAATGCAACACTTCCGCGCCTGCGAGAGGCTTTTTTTTAAAAAAAATTAAAATTTATTTTAGAATTAAAAAAGATAATGGGTAGTTGTGTTCCATAGAAAGAGGATCTATTATCTTATTTTTCTTTTAATTTTAAAATTTTTTAATATGAAAAAGTATGAATTTACCATATTATCCTCATTTAATTAATAATTTCAATTCTTAATGTTTGCATTAACCAATGACATTTTTTGGTATTTTGAATGTTTCACAATTCTCTGCCTTTTGCTTTATATATATAGATTTTCATAAAAACAAATATTTGGATAATATTGGATTGGAACATGATAAACAAGTCCTTGATTCACTGCACTAAAGCCTCTTCTTCTCCTACATGTTATAAATCTTTCTTATTCCTCTTCTTCTATCCCAATCTAAATTATGCTTTCTATTTGTAGATTGAGGAGATTCGAAAATTCAAAGGGTGGGCTTTTATTCAGTGCAAAATCAATTGAATATAATTTTTCATTATCTAATGTCAACTAAAAAAGAAAATACGATTTTTGGGGAGAAGTTAGGTTTGAGATTGTTGTATGCATGAATAATTGTATTTTGCGAGGGGTTAGGTTTGAGTTTCCTAAATTCCTAGGGTTGAATACTTAGGGCCAGTTTGGCATTGCTATGCTGTGAAAATAATCACTGTCAGATTTGCTGTGAGAGAAAGCAGTTTGGCGTTTGGTAAATTTTTTGTTAAAAGTGTTGTTGGTATTGATTTCCTCATAATCAGAAAATGACTGTGGCATAATCATTATACTCAGCGCATCTTCAAAACTGATTCCTGCATAATCAGAAAATGAAAGCACCTCATTAGCTGCTTTCCCTTATAGCTTTCTCTC